ACACATATATATATTCTTTGTTCTGGTTCAGCTTCTTTTTTGACTTCTTTGTAGTAATTTCAGCTTCATTCTACAAATTAAAGCTTTTTATGCTTCTTTTAGCTGTTTCCTTTAATTTAAACTTCTTTTTCGGCTAATTTTTCATCAAATTTCACTGTTTTGTGATTATTTCAATTTCTTAATTCAGCAAACTTTACATTCCTCCTAATGTTTTTAGGCTATTTTACAACAAATAAAACTTTTGTTCTTATTTTTTYCTAATTAGTTCAGCATTCACACTGAATTTTCACAGAAAATGCAAATTCTTTAGTTATTTGTTGCATTTACACTCCAATCATACACTCCAATTACATATTTTTTCATTTGGATGTTGAAATTGCTTCTCTGAGATTTCAAAGAACTAACAAAAATGTCATAAAAATAAATAAAGTAATTTAAAAAATCCTCACCATTACTCAATTAATCAATGTTAAGATGTCCCTAAATTAAAAAAAATGCACACAAAATGTGTCAGTTTATCTGCCTCCATCTTTGTGACAATGGAGATGAGGAGATGTTGTGGACTGASAATTCTGGTATATTGGGACATTTACACTCAGGTTTGTTGAGTAAAGTTTGCACAGCTGCACATTTAAAAAAGTGCAAGGTTTRACTAAAACCGCATGAGGAGGAGCAAATTGAAAATCAAGATWAAAACCTAAACATAATGACTGAATAGTAATTAATGGGTTTCTGTACTGGTGTTCTCAATGAAATCTAACACTCTTAAAAACAAATATTTGCTCAAAATTTTATATCAATGATGTCCAGTACTGGTACTTAAGGGTCACTATCCTACATGTGTTGGATGTTTATCTGCTTATACCTGATCCAAACAAATAGGGGATTACCAGGTTTCTGCAAAACTTGAATGTGGAAGAGGTGGTTCAGCCATCGAATTGGGTCTTCATGTCACAGTCCTCCCAATCCTGATCCTTGTTGTCACACACCAGGTGTTGCTGTTTCTTCCTGGTTAGTTCACCATAATCTGTAACTTTCTGTTGGTTGGTTGATTGGTTCAGTCGGCCTTCCTGGTCTGCTGTATTCTCCTTGTTCCAAGTCCTCTTGAGTCTCCTCGTGATTATCCCCTCCTGCGTTTCCTCCTCCCAGGCAGGCGTAAGCCTCATGGTATTTCAGTTTTGTAAATAAATCCTTGTGTTGATACTTGTGTTTTGATCTTTTTTAAACTTGCTCAGCTCCACTACCTGTCTAACTTGACATAAAAACAGAATATAAAGTTTTGTCTGTCTTCCAGAAGTAGGTGCACCTGGACCAGGTCTTCTGTGT